TTTGATGTTTCGTTCAACATATGTTCACGTGAACGGGCGTGCACACACACACACACACACACACACATACACACATACACACACTTACTCACTCACTCACACTCACTCATTCAAACACACACACATACTGCACATACATTAGTGCATGACTATGTGTATCAATGTATATGTGTACTTGTTCTTGTTAATAGTAGTGGGAGAACAACCTTTCATATTTACCTAAGTGAAAAAGATAAAATGTCTGCAAGTCATGTATTTGCTTGCACAAGTCAAGACAGGAAAACCTTTACACCTTTGATTATCCCTTGAAATTAAAATTCAGACAAAAATATTTTTATAAAAATAGTGAAGATATGAACACGATATGAGCTCTATTCCAAAAATAGTCTTTAAGAATCATAACAATGATCATAATGGCAATAATGATGACAAGAATATGGAGGAATATAACAGTAAAAGTAAGAGTAGTAAAGACAATGATAATCATGATAATGATAATGGACAGTGTTCATTGAAACGAATGTAGAAAAAGTATACATTGGAAGACACAGTATATACACACAATATATATATATATATATATATATGTGTGTGTGTGTGTGTGTGTGTGTGTGTGTGTGTGTGTGTGTGTGTGTGTGTGACACTACATATATATATATATATATATATATATATATATATATATATATATTGTGTATATATATCTATATGTATCTATATATATTGTGTCTTGCACATAGACTTTCTACATTATATAAGTACATCCATCCATACATACATACATCCACGTATGCATGCACACATACTATACATATAGCATAACAACAGCCTTATTCATCCCACTGCAGAATTTAGACTCTTCAAAGTCATGTTCAGGCCGAAATACCGTCTAACTGCCGGTATAGGTATGTCCTAGCAGGGACAGTTTTATTTATTCGCAGGGTAAGAGATGGATTTGACCGGTTTCAATAATAATGATTACGATCGGTGAAAATAACTGACAGTCATGAAATTTAGAATGGTGATGATAACATTAGCAAAAACAGAAACGGTAACAAACCCTGCAACTTAATAAATGAGTAAATTAAAAGATAAAGCAAACACACGGCAAAGCTTCATTAGAAATTTAATGAGAAATACTATGCTAAATATTACTACTTCCAGGACGTGATGCTCATCAAAACCTAGAGCTGAGCTACTCAGTGGGGCAAAGCATGTAGTTGAGTGAGAGTGCAATTTATTGATCTCCTTTCTCATGTCTTCGAGAAGGCTTACATGTAGATCTTTGACATTATGAAAATATATCCATTCATCCATACATACATGCACGCATAACTAAACCATACATACATGCACGCATAACTATACCATACATACATGCACACATAAATAAACCGTCCAGCTAACGGTATGGGTATGCCCCGGCGGGGAAAGTGAGTTATTTGGGAAGTAATTAAAGAGAGAGAGAGAGAGAGAGAGAGAGAATAGCATGCTTAAAACGAGCTAGCAAGTTTGCTAACCACGCCAAGGTATACATTCATAGGTAGGTAGATCGCCCGCGCACAAAAGGAGAGGGTATTATATATCCTTAATTGAAGGAATTAATTAATGTATACACAAACTCCCTTTTTCTCTATCTATCACACATAGACGTACATGTGTGCGTGTGTGTGTAAGTTTACAGGTACCCCACCCCACTCCTTTACTATGTAGAAATATCCATAGTTAAGGAAGCTTAATCATGTAAATATTCTCCCATGTTGCTAGTGTGAAACTTTACCATCCATCCATGCAAATAACATTTAAAACCTCTTTTTCATTCACTTATATCTAATGATGGACACGCTTCTATACTGCATTTTTTTTTTTTTTTTTTTTTTTTTGGGGGGGGGGGCTTCGTTCGTTAACGAAGCTGGCAATAGATGTATGAAAGAAGTAACGATGCAGTCAATATATCATTTGAATGCTTTACTTTATATCAAACACACTACCTAATTGGGGTTTACGAGTCTCTTTCCCTATTACATCATTCTTTCCTAAGGTAAACATGTAAGACGCATAGCCATGCAACATATGAGGTGAAGGGTAAGGCAACTCCATTCAAGGTCAGCTTTTTCCTTGGTATATAAGAATCTCAGCGTCACAACCGGATCAGTTCACTACTACTCTGAGCACCATGAAGTTTGTGAGTGAACTGTATGATTTTGTGAAGTTGTGCTTATGCCTGACTGTGGTAGTCTGACCACAAATGTAATAGTCATACACAGAAAAGTACCATCCATACACACACATAAACATGATATATATATAGATAGGTAGATATACATGTATATACAGAGAAGAAAACGATAATAGAAAGAGAGGGAGAGATAGGTTTAGTAACAATGCAATCTGCGGCAATATAAACAGTGCAAATACCATGTTCATGATCTCTATCTTTCCACAGGCGATTCTTGTCGCCCTCACTGCTGTGGCCACCGCGGCCCCTCAGAATGGCTACTCTCTTCCGGACCCCTCCACAAGGGGCGTACTTGAGGTAGTTGAGGTTGTGCCCATCCTGAGGGACGACCGAGTCCAAGAGGACGACGGCAGGTACAACTTCGACATCGAGACCGGCGACGGCATCACCGCCTCGGAGTCTGGCTCACCTGACGGCCCTGAGGGCGCCATCGTTGCCTCTGGAAAGTACTCGTGAGTATTATAGCCTTAGTAGGTGTATGTATGTGAACATGTGTACTCGTAGCATGAGAGTATATATATATTTTTTGTAATCATTATCATGATCACAGTTATTATCTAAGTCATGGATATTGTTTTGATTATTAGTAGTAGCAACAGTAATGCAAAGTGTTAATTGTATAAATTTCATCATTAATAACCTCATCATTTTTATGCCTATTGCCATACATCATTGTCAATAACGGCATGCGTGACCCATACTGTTATAAGAAGCAGCAGTATTTCAGTTATGAAATCCGATTCGGGTTTTACATTATCGTTGATTCGGCTAACAACGAGCTTAACACTACTGTCAGTCAAAATATGGTGACATCATAGAAGTAAAATTATCCTTCGCTACCATTCATGAAGTTTTCCTTTCCAGGTACACTGCTCCCGACGGGAGCCTGATCGAGGTCACATACGTCGCCAACGAGGAAGGCTTCCAGCCCGAGGGTGACCACCTGCCAGTGGCTCCCGAATTCCCTCATGAGGTTCCCGAGTTCGTGCTCAGGCAGATCGCAAAAGCAGCTGAGGAAGACGCTCTTGCCGCGGCGGAGACCAGAGACGCCGCACCTTCCCAGCTCTACCAGAGGCCGCAGTAGACGTCTTTGAAAAGGAAAAGTCATGTACAAAACGGATTCTTCCCATGTGTAAATAATTTATTCGCGAAATGAATGCCGTGTGATTGAACAGCTTATTTATAATAAATAATGCACACTATTTTGTTGTATTTTCTATTCATCTTATTTTCTTTTCTACTTCAGAAAAGGTTTTATCTGTAAATATGTTCAGCCTATTTCTATGAATCATAAGATACAGAAAACACTATATGCACATATTAATTTCGTTTTAATGATATGATCACAACACGAGGTTACACGGACACACACACGCGTAATATATATATACATATATATAAATGGTAAAATATTTTACCGTGTTTATAGAATGGTAGAAAAGAAAACACAATGCACAAACTTGATTTATTAAAATGAGACAACATTTCGAAATTCTGCATTTCATATTCAGACCTGAAGATGAAATCTAGGATTTCAAAACTGTTGTCTCATTTTTAATCAATTCATTTTGTGCATTTTTTTTTACCATATGTATGTATATATATATATAAACATGTCACACACACAAACACACACGTGTATATGTATACATATTTACCTACTTATATCAATTTTTGCTCTTAGTATATGCTGGCAATGGTCAATCGAAGCTTGTTGGTAGCTTCTCCGATCGCTGGTAGAGAAAAGTCTTTTTACCTGAAATAGGAAGAGTATTACTACTTTATTTATTGTTATTGTATCTGATAGTTCTAAGAGATTGGCCCGAAAGTATATTTGAATATATACTTATAGTGAATATATATACACATATTACCTTTTAAATATATATATAATATATATAAATGTATGTATGCATACGCACACAAACGTATAAATCATATATTATATATCTCTGTGTGTCTGTGTATGTATATGTATATGTATGTGCACATATTTATTCACACGCGCGCACGCGCACGCACACACACAAACTCACACTGACACACACACACACACACGTGTGTGTGTGTGTGTATGCCTGTATTTTTATGTAAGTATATATATATGTATATATGTACAGATATATTTATTAATATATATGCATATTCAATACATATACATACACTCATATATATATATATATATGTATATATATATTTACACATATATATGCACATATATGTATATTGCGTATATATGTATATTGCGTATACGCAACATACACACATACACATGAATAAAAAAAAACAAATAAACAAAGCAAACACACGGCAAGACCTCATTAGTGCTTTCAGGACTGGATGCAAAACTCGTGGTGCAAAGCATGTAGTTGAATGAGACGGCAAAACAAAGTGATTGAAAATAATGTGTCTGTATGTTTCTGCATTTATCAGTATCCTTCCTTACACAGTATTGTAAAGAAAACTTACACATACTCGCGCAGCATCCTATAAATACATACATTCATTCATATATTCATAGATACATAAATACTCATCTATATTTTCAGCATCGCAACAGCCCCTTTAATGGTACAGCAGAATTTAGACCTCTTCCCAACCCCTGTTCAGGAGAAATATTGTTGAAAAATTCTGGCTTGGAGGTATCTTAGCAGGGGAAGTCAATTATTCGGGAAGCAACTAATAACCCTTCTAGTTTGGTAAGGTATACATACATATACATATATATACACAGATGTATATATAGACCAACCGATGGCGA